AAAACATAGAAAAAGTATTAAAATAATTAAATAATAAGGCATATATGCATTTTTTATGCTTTTTTACAGCTGTCAAGCCAGGGATATTTCCACTTATTAATCACATAACATGTTAAAATGCGGGCATTTTATTGGCTAAAATTAACAGGTATAAAAAATATTTTTTTCGTATCATAAATACATAAATTATATTAAATTTGATGTAGAATTATTGGACTTTATAAATTTTAAGCGTTTTAAAAAATCATTAGTTATATTTCATACTATAGTATGAAATATAACTAATGATTTTTTAAACAGTAATCAATTCAAAATAAATACGCATAAGCATAATAATTAGCCTAATTATATTTTTTATTAATAATGATTACATTACACATTAAAATAGAATAAAATGTTTCAAAGCGTTTAACGTTTAAAAAATGTAATCAAAAATCAAACCAAAACATGGATTGTTATTAAATTATATATTTTCATAATAAGTTTAATTTTAAAACTTAAAAAATATAGGTATTTGATTGGATTTTAAAAGGCCCATAAACTTAATTTATTTAAATAGTTATTTATATCACAGCGTAGTGTGTTGTGTAGGTATCTATGGAAAGTTATCCAGGGACGTCTCGTGAGCCCTCTTCAAAGTATTTTATAGCCACCTGCCGTCGCCCCTCTCGTTTCTCCGCCCCGATGTAAAGGTTGTTAGAGAGAACAAGCTTGATCGGGGAACCTGGGTATAAATTACCTAGACTCCCCCTCGACCCCTGCACGCCTGGCCAAAGCTTTACGACTTACGTATACCAACGTTTGATTCATTCTCGGCGATGTTGCCGATGCTTCGCGAAAGAAAACGCGTTTAAAGTACGGATATCGTTGGTTTAATCTTTGTACGACATATTTGCATTAGTTTATCCACTCGATATAATGGTCTGTTTATTAGTATAAATAATGGCGTTTTGTGTTGGAACTTATTTATGAACAACATAAATATGTGCGTGTTTTTCGTCGGTTATACATTCTCGCCAATAAATTTACTCCGATTTTCCTATAACAATGAGATAATCACCTGTCTAAATTATGTTAAGTGTTGTTTTCATATAAAATAAATCTAATTATTTCGAGTTCGCGATCCACCACCCACTTAATTAAAATGCCTGAACGCACGACTATTTATTCGAAAATTATGAACTGATATCGTATGCCGTTCGACATGTTCGATTCGCCGAGAATATCAAATTCCATAATAATGAAAATTACAAATTTTTGGACAAAACGTTTATCAATGCCATAATTTGTTAATGTTTTATTCAAGGGATGTTAATTTTATAAATTCTATACACAAACGCTTAAAATTAAAATTTAATTAAAACAATCATTTCTAAGCCAGACAAAATGCATTAATAAACATAGGTTTGTTAAAAAACTTTTATAAAAGTTAAATTTTTATAAGGGGTGTTTACATTAAGCGGTTATGCTTTGCTTACTGTGAATGTTTAGAAGAAAGTACTACGCTCCACATTTGACATTTAATTACAAATAATTGAGGTCAGCTATCTGTCAGTTAATCGCTAATTACGTCTTATTTTTTAAAAATAATACAATATATGTATTTCTTATGTATAAATCTCTTAATTAAGAATAAAATATTTTTAAAAATAAGAACAAAACAGAGTTACACTGACAAATAGATAATCTCAAGTATTTGTGTTTAAATAACAAGGTAGTACTTCGGTACTAATTTGTTAAGAAATGATTAATATTGTTTGTTTTAGGTTAGGTTAAGGTTAAAAATGTCAATTTAAGCAAACATAATTAATTAAAATAAATTATTTTGAAATGGCTTCTATTTCACGCGAAATTTACCAGTAACAAATTTGGATAATGTTATTGATATACCAAAAATTATTATTATACCTATATATTATATAATCGAGAAAAGTTTTCCCTTATTAATAGTTTACTATAAATTAATTGCTTTTATCTACTCCTACATTGACGATCTATGACTATATGGCGTTTTACTCATGGGCTGAAGTTAACAACAGTGGCTTTTGGACATTTAAGTAACGGGCTGAAGTTAGCTTTATTTTAAATTGCCAAAAAGTGAGGTTAAATTCGACAAATGTCAAATATTTATGAATTAAAATTGGCTTTAAATTCTTATTTCTATTCGTCGTAGATACAGTATAGTATGCAACTCGTTTTATAAACTTGATACATAATATACTATTATCTACTCCTACATTGACTAACTAGTACTTTATGGCGCTTTAGTCACGGTCAAAAGTTAGCAATAGTGGCTTTTGGGCATTTCAGTCACAGGCTGAAGCATTATTATAAATTAGGGAAAGTGAGGTTAAATCCATTAAAAGTTAACAGATATCAAATATTTAAGAAATAAATTCGGCTTTAAGGTCTTCTTTGTGTTCGTCTTGAATAAAGTATAGTATGTAACTCGTTTTATAAACTTCTCTATTAAACACACGCAATCAAGCTTCGCTTGTGCCTAATAAAACTCGTAACTAAAATGGCGTTTACAAAACTTGATACATTATATACTATTAGGCTTTTTACCTAACTCTAAACATTATATTACAATCTTGTGAAACAGCACGAAAGTTTCATCAAGTTTTATAAATCTTCTAGATCTTAATAAGTTAAAAAGGTAAAATATTAATTTTCAAGATAGGCTGAGGTGAGTATTTTTTGTGCTGAGTTTAAAGTTTGAGCGAAGCACAAAAAGACACTTCTCAGTATACTACATTTTCTTTTCAGGCAGAATTTTATTATTTTATATAATTATAATAATTAATAAAATTTGAAAGTAAGGTTAGAGACGGTGGTAGAATTTTAGTAGTAGAAACTTTACCCGATTGGTCTAAATTATTTTAACAACCCAGGAAGTTTTTTGATAGTACATCATAGATCAGGCGGAGAAAGCTTATATTATAGCCGATCATACATTTCACTGCCGCGGTATGCTGAGGCGCTAGCAGTAGATTATGTGCGAGGAAATTAATAAGGTTTCGCCACCGGGAAAAATACACTTTTTTTTATTAAATTTATATTTCTTTAAGAATCTGTCAAATTTAGGTTTAGGTTTACTTGACATGATGAAAGTTTAGCTTTATTTTACGGAGGTTTATAATAATTTGATTTTTAAACTTAATATATAAAATTATTATACTTTTGAAAAAAAAAACAAATTTTAAATATGTTATAAATTTTTAAATTATTAAAGAGAACATAACGGATTTTTAGAAATTAAGTGTCTAAAATTTAATTGGATTTTGAAGCCATTAAAAATATCTTAACTTAATAGCAGCATACCATTGTACACTACAGTGTGTGATAGTGTTCATATGGTGAACCAAATTATTGTATTTATTGTTTCCATTTAAAAGTAGCTATTTATACACTTGGGTCTAGTTCACATCAAGATTAGTTGGTTTAATCTAGAACATTTTATTTTTATAAGGTGGCAGGTAAATTTGTTATTGAGTTTTTAAATATATATGTATATGATAAAGATAGTTAAAATAGTTACATATCTAAATATATGATGTCTTTAAAAATATGTTTAAAGTATGAACCATTATGTGAAATAAAAATCACCATTTTTTGTTTTATAGGCAACTCGGAAATCAAAATATTCGATAAGATGCTATAATGCGAGATAAATGCCATAACTTGTTAAAACAGAAATATATTAAAGTATTTTGAAAAGATTTTAAGACCAATTTAATGTCGGAATCATTATTATTTATTTATTTATTTAAAATATATGCAAGTTTTAAATAACAAACATAATACATTAAAAAGTAATAAAATTAACAAAATTTACCTTAACCCAATAAAATACTTTTTATTGGACAGAAATACAATTTTATCTATAATATACTTTATATTATTAAAAGCCTTTTCTTAAAAAACTTTCTTAAATTAGAAACCCGTTAGTTTTTTTTACTTTTACCTGATAAAAGAAACTTTCTTAAAAAACCCTTTTAAGCGCCACAAAGGGTTGTAAAAAATTTGGAAAGCGCATCGAATCGATTATTTTTGAGATACAAAAAAATAAAGTTATTTTGAAATTTACTTAAATAAACAGCACGTAATCCTTTTCATAATTCTTGCCTAAGCTTTGGAGTGTTTTTTTGCGTTAAAGTTTAAATTGCGAGTGTGTAGTCTAGAAGTGCCATAAAGAAGAGGGTTTTTGACCTAGGCGTTTCATATTTTTAGCCTGACCAGTACAGCAGCATAAACAAATTCATCCTGGTAGATTAAAAGAACCTTGTTGTGTATGTGTGCACTACAGAATTATGCGTGTGCATAACTCAACAAGGTCAGTCACGTATTAAGCTTAGCAAAAAAACATGTAAACTCTAAATGCGCAGGTTTATTTTAAAATAAAACGTAGGGCTTTGGACAAATTTGCAAGATTTTAAAAATATAAATTGTATGGAGTAAGTAAACTGATAAAGTGTTGCAAAATTATAAAGTTTAAATATTAATACTTTTAGTTACGTTTTAAACCTTTTAAAATCACAAATTTAAAAAAAAATATTGCTTATTTTTTATTATCTGTTAAATTAAAATAAATGAATTTTAATTTGGTTTCAATTTGCCGTTCTAAGTTATCTGGAAATCTGCATGCAAATGTCGTTTGTTTATACTTTGACTGTATAGCGTATAATAATAAAATCTAATTGAAACTAATAGGATAGATTAACTGCACGTTTAATTATTATTGCCAATAATAATATTAGCAAACATAAAATGCGATAGTTTATATAAATTTATAACCATAAACACAACCTAGAAACTATTATTGAACAAAAACGCGTTTTGTATTGGGTTGCACCGCAAGGATCGATTCCGGAACCCATTAATAATCAAGATATCTAGGTAATATTCCAAAAATTATTAAAAATAATTTAGTGTTAGTAAATAAGCTTAAAACTAAATTAATAACTAAACCTAATAAAAATAAAAAATTGAATATATACCATTGTACTCACCACAGACGACCCGATCAAAGGGACTCATCCAGTCTAAAAAACAAAAAACAAACAAGCAATGAAAAATATGAACGACAATATTAAATTTCAGCTTAATATAAAATTCACGTAGTCCCGATTAAATGTCCCATTTAAATTGTAGAACACAATTTTTACGGCTGAGATTTTATTGTTATAAGCTACTAAATGGCCATTAAATGGCGTTTTATTGCTATATTTTTGAGCAATTGAATTCCTAAACTCTTCATCTGCAATGACGTTCATAGGTGGCTGTGGCTGAACGGTTGCCGACGGCCGACGCAACGCGCGCCACGTCATGTCATTTACACGTCATAAAACCATTTTATGACCGCAATTAATAGACTTTAATGTGTATTGTTTTACAATAGACTTATCCAAACAACAACAAAAAAGGCAATGAATCCCAATAAGATATTTTTTGTTTAGTTTTAAAATACACAAGTAATTTTTAAAACAAAATTCGAGCAAGTCGCTTAATTCCTGTAAGTCACGCATGCGTCCCATAATTAGGCAGTAATTATATTGGGTTAATTGCATTAATAAATTAAAATAGCCTATTAAGATTAACATAATACTTCAATAAAAGCAGTTAAAGTCATAACGACCGGTATCATTAGCAATAATATTTTTATTATGTCGATAATACACTTTTTGCATGTTATAATTTTAATAACAATGGCACCTATACATCTAATTTGTTTAGTTGAAATGAATTATTGTATTATATGTATAAATCTATATAAAGTCTATATTGCTTTTAAATTTGTTTGTTACCATGTATAATTATTTGTAACCTTTCAATGTAAGTTAATAGTTTAAGTGATCATTTTAAAGTTTTAACACCATCATAAAAATATTGTTAGAGCCAATTATTATTAATAATAATGTCGTTATAATAACGATTATGAGCTGTTTAGTCATTCTAAAAGGTTTTATGGGTGTATAAAAATAAAATGCTTCCCTTAAATTTGTTACAGCATATTAACCACCATTACAAGAGTGATGTGACCATAACTTTTTTATTGCAGCAATTTACAGTTAAATGTCACTACAACCTGGTAACCGGGCAAATTCTAATTAGAAATTTAAATGTAAAAATGCTTAATTTACCTGTGATTGACATCCATGGATATCTGGGTATGTCGGGGATGGGTTGTCCGCCGGGGGCGGTGGGTTGCGAGCAGGAATTCAGCGGGTCGACGACGGCACTGGCGGCCTGGTGGTAGAATTGCGCCGCCACCGCCATGGAGGCCGACGCGGCGCTAACCGAGTTGGCGGCGGACACGGCTGCACCGTTTTGGTGATGATGGCCAAGGGTGTAATTCACCATGGAGTCTGAGGGAGCTACGTTGCCCGCCAAACCGGCTGTGTACCTGCATGATTTGTCGGTGGCGGCGTCCACGGCTGCGGCGGCCGCCAGAGCGGCCGTGCTGGCGCTTGTCGGGAATCCTCCTGGAACCATGCTGCCGGAAGCGGCGGCCGCGTTGAATGCCGCCGCTGCCACTGCCTGCTGCTGGTGGTGGTGATGGGCCGCCGCCGTGGCAGCCGACACGTAAGGATACATTCTGGATGCTGGTGATGTGGATGAGGCGCTGCTGTTCGAATGTTGCGGCGAAGAGCCCGTTGGCGAACCTGAGGATGAGTAGTTGACGACGGAAGCGAGGCTGGCTTCAATTGATGAGGTGTTGGCAGGACTTTGAAATAATTGCTGATGATGGAACTGTTGATGGTACTTGGGGAGCATGCTATCAATGATGAATTTGGAACTCATTGCTGACGTGCAATGTCCCAGTCACTGCACCGTCGCGCACTTATCATAGTAGTCCGGTCAAAATCGTATAATCACTGTTGTAGCACACGCTTGCCTTTACGACCGTCAGCCACTTAGCAATATCAACAAACAACAACAACGTCGTTTAAACCCTATTGCGGAGTATTTCTTACGCGTCCTTCTCCTCTACTTCTTCGAATCCTTTATGACCCATGTATGTTCAGTCTATAGCCCTCTATGCCTTATCCACGGTACTAGAGAGCTAATGGCGCCCCTCCACGTTCGTGCCAATCCGAGCAGGTGCGGATCCGACCAATAGGGGACCACGGCGGGCACGCGGCGCTCGATACACCACGTCCCTCTGACACGGACTCACGCTCTCGACGTAGAAGCCGTAGCCGCTTCGCTATGCTCGCGCTACTCGCTTTGCTGGCTTTCAATGCCTCGTCTTCTATCTCTACCGGCTTGCTGCGCTCTGCTGCTTATACTGATACCGATGCTATTCTCTCATTACTTGCAGCAGACCTAACTCTTTTTTTACTATTATTTTCTCTCAACATACGATTTTCAACTTTTTACTCTATAAATATTTGTAATGCCTTGATAAATATTTATTTTTTTAATTACAATGTCTCACAGTAAGGGGTTTGAAAATATGATGATCATATTAGTTTAAATATGATATTTATTTAGTTTTACTTAATTTATACTTTATTTAGAAAAAGGTATAATTTCTCAATTTATATATAAATTGAGAAATTATACCTTTTTCTAAATAAAGTATAAATTAAGTAAAACTAAATACCTATAAATGCCTATAGGTAAATGAATCTTATGCGGTAACTTATTTAATTTTTGGCTATTTATAATGGAAATTAAAATTATATTATATACACAGGGTGTAATTTTATGAGCGCGACGCATGGAAAACTAAAATTGCGAGCCATGAAATTAACAATGCAAAAATGAGGTTTATTTTGTTTCACTCTAAAAAAGTTTTAGTCCTCTGAAGAGTAAATATATAAAAATAATTTTAATAATTAAAAAAACATTAATTTTTATTTGATAATTTGTACTTATAAATAGGCTCTGTTTGTTTATAAACAACTTTGTTCCATAAAATTTTTGTTAAAAGTTATAAATAATGGTCCTTTTTTCATAAAGCATTTTAATTTTTTCCTAAGATATTAACACCCTGTACATCTGATCTCAAATTTTTATATGGAAAGCAAGCAGAACTTTTTATAAAGAATGACTTTTTGACATAAAATGAAAAGATTTTTTTTCTGTTGAGTACTACCTACATCCACAGACATACTGTATACCTAATATATATTATTACATATGTATACATATAAACTATTTTTGTAGTTTTGTACTATATATTACTTAAACCCCTGTTATGAATATCTGATTAATATCAATACATTGTTTGGACTTAAGGTTAAATAAAAAAAAACACACAATATTTAAAAAAATATATTAAAATTAATAACCATTACAGCAAAATAGGCTATAAATGCACACTAAACCTAAAAAAATTAAATATTTAAATAACCATTCGAGCACTTGAACATAATTGATAGCAAAAATATACCATTAACTACATTACCTAAACAGTCAATTTAATTTCTAATGCTATCATAAAATGTTAAAAGGCAAACCACAACTAATTTAACACAAAAGGTGGCAATTTAAATTTACCATGGACGATTGAAAGTACTTAGGAATCCTATGGGCGGAAGATACAAACGAAAAAAAAACGCATCGCTATTGGAATGATGGCGGTACCTACCGGAGTACGATTCACAGGTATAAAAACTAAAAATTTATGTTTGAAGCAGTGGCGCGCTGTCGCGGGGAAAGGGGAGGCAGCTGCTCGCCTATACATGTGTTTTTTTATATTTCTATAATCTCTCCCCACGTTTATCAACTTTTTTGTGAATCGTACTCTTATTCCTTTATAAATGACATAAACAATTTATTTGTCAACCAAAAAAAATAAGATATTCATAATAAATTTAACACATTATAGGTATGTATTTATCTTCCTAATAAAATGTGAAATGTGTTAAAATTATTACACTGGTCAACAAAAATATAATTTAATTATTTTTGGATTTTTAATTTTGTTATTATTATTATTATTATTATTATGCAATTCTTATATTTATATGTTTTAAATAAAAATATTGACAGTTGAATAAAATATAAAATTTCTAAACCTTAAATAATAGTTTTTATAATTAAAATTAAAATCAACTTATATTTATATTAAGTAATAATATGTAAATAAAATGTGCTTTAAAATCGTGTAATAAAAAAGTGACAAATCGCTATAAGTGTTCACTATGTCAATTGGCTTATCAAATGTTCGGCAAAAAATGATGGAGTCTCATAATGATTTATTCGTTTGTAAATCTTGTATTGGAAATGAAATAGTTGCCCGCAAAGTTTTGGAAAATCGTCAAATTAATAAAACTGTAAAAAATGAAAACGCCATGTATGTCAAATTAGTTCAAGAAATGGAAGAAAAAAATGTGTTGGTAAAAGAGAAAATTATCAATTTTAATACAAGTAAAATATTGTTCCAATGCAATATTCACAAACCTACAAAAATCAAAACAAGATGAAAAATCTGAAAATACATTAACAGCTGTAAAAAGGCGCGCTTGGGTGTATGTTGGAAATATGACAATAGGCACAAGTGAAGAATCGATTAAAAAATATTTACTAAATAAAAATTTTGAAGTAAAGAGCCCCCAAAAAAAGAAAATACCAGAAGTGTTGCTTTTCTGTTGGATCTGATTTTAAGGATATATATAAAAGATGCAAAATTTTCGCCGGAAGGAATCTTATTCAAAAACAGTAATTTTAAAACATTTTTTCGCAACCAAAATCGACCAACAAGTATTGAATAGTAAAAATATATCTATTAATAACAATAATAATAATGTAACTGATAAAAACTTAAATATAATTCATTTAAATAGGTATCCAAAGTCTTAATAATAAACAGAAAGAAGTAGAACTTTTTCTGGAAAATGAAAAATCAGACATTGTATGTTTTTCGGAACATTGCAATCCATGAATATCAAAACAAGCCATACATTACAAAAAAAAATTACAGCTACAATCGCATTTCTGGATTTTGTAGAACCAGCTTTATTCATGGAGGAACCTGTATATATGCAAAGGAAAATATTAAAATTGAAAAAGTTCCAGTTCAATCAAAAGAAAAAAATTTTGAGTGTTGTGCTATAAAGTGCTTGGATTATAATATGTTTATTGTCTGTGTGTACCGGTCACCAACGGCTGATTTTTCGGAGTTTTTGTTAAATTTTAAGTATATTCTTTTAAATTTAATAATCAGAAATAATGAATCCATTATAGTTCTTGGTGATTTTAATATTAATTTTTTAAATAACGATTGGGCATTTAGGCAAAACCTTTTTAATTTAACATTTAATTTTAACTTAAGATCAACAATTAATGAGCCTACAAGAGTATAACAAATATTTCAAGTACACAAATCGATAATATATTTACAAACATTCATTTGTCCCATTATACCTCTTCAGTAATTAAATCGAATCTTTCAGATCACTTTGCTATTAAGTTCTGTTTTAAATATATTGATAAAAAATACACTACATGTATGCATTTTAAAAGGATATACTTGGAAAAAAATATTAATGATTTGCGTCAACCAATTGTCTATGCTTGATTGGAATGTTTTTTCCGAATGTGGACACCCTAATATTTCTTTTGATTCTTTTCACCATGATTTTAAAACCAAATTTGATGTTTTGTTTCCTAAAAAATGTAATAAAAATAAAGAAAATTCGGAAAAACTACCGTGGATTTTATTTCACAATTAAAAAGAGAAATGCATGAAAATTTAATAAGTTATAAAAAAAATAATATTTATCCTTTCCTGAAAAATAATTATAAAGATTTTTAAATTTGAACTAAAAAAAGGTAAACTCCAATATATTATAAAACTTATAGAAAATGCTACAAACAACCAGAAACAAATATGGAGACAGTTAAATAAAAACAAAACTTTAGTTTCTAAACCAAAAAACATTATTTTAAAGAAAATACTGTTATTGATAATTATAATCCATTGAAAGTTGCTAATGAATTTATTTTTTGCTAATATATCTGATCCTCTAAATTTGCCATCTCCAAAACTTAACGCCAACAACATTACACGCATTAACTCAAATATGTTTTTATACCCCTCAAATGCTGTTGAAGTGTATAACATTATAAATAATTAAAAATTTAAAAAATCCACTGTTTGGAATGAAGTTCCAACAACCATTATTAAAAGATGCGCACAAATAATAGCAAGTCCTCTTAGCCATATTATAAATCTTTGTTTTCAAAATGGTATTTTTCCAGATAGTCTAAAGTTGGCTATTGTCAGGGTTTTGCATAAAAAAGGTCCTGAAACTCATCTCAATAACTATAGACCTATTTCTTTATTACCTATTTTTTCAATTTTTTTAGAAATATCAATATCTACAAGACTAATAAAATATTGTAATAAACACTACATAATTTCTAAACATCAATATGGTTTTTTTAAAGGTAGTAGTACGGAATTAGCAATTTTCAATTTTATTGATAAAATCATGGAACTTTGGAATAGCAAAACCCTGGCTTTATTGACTTATCTAAAGCCTTTGATATTATTGATAAAGAACTATTGAAGTTAAAATTAGAAAAATATAGCATAAGAGGTACAGTGCTAAGGCTGTTTGAATCATATCTGACCAACCGAAAACAAATAGTGCAAATATCTTCGGAAAATGGTTTGGAATTTTCTTTCAATACAGTGGATTTAAAAATAGGAGTTCCTCAGGGTTCAATTCATTCAATTCAATTGTAAATGCTTTGCCTCAATGTCATGATAATATTTTATGTATGCAGATTATACTACTGCAATTTTTAAATCTTCCACAATAGATTATTTAATATCTAATATTGTTTTAACACAAGAAAATATATTTCAGAGGTTTTAAGACAACGGCCTCAAATTAAATGTAGGCAAAACACAGTATATTAAGTTGAAAATTAAGGGCTTACGAATAGCAAAATTAATATTAATAATAATTGTACCATAGAGTTAGTACCTCAATTAAATTTTTATGCATTTCTTTGGACAATAAATTGTTATGGAAAAACCAAACAGATAATGTTTTAATGAAAATCAATTAGTACCT